CGTCGGAGGGTTCCGGCTCCAGCCGAGGTAGCTTGTTGAAAATCACGGGGTCCAGAGGCTCCAAGTGCCGTTTCGAAGCCATCTATACGTTGCTGCCGGCGTCCCGACGGGGGTGCGTGACGGGAGAGGTGAGCTGGCCTTCCTGAACGGCACAGAGAGAGAAAAGATCATGAGCAAATCGAGTTCCCCACGGGAAGCACTCAGCCGGTGGTGGGATGGCACAGGGTGACAGTGTCCGCCGAGAGCTCCCCAAAAGTCACCTTGCCCCACGCACCGGCTGGAGAAAGCACATTGGTTTTCACGCGCAGCTTTTCCTTAGTCGTTTGTGATGCTCGGCATCCCCCTGGAAGGCTAAAGGAGAGGAGGGGAGGCACGGACAGCCCCGCTCGCCCCACAGCCGGGGCAACAGGGACTCGCTTCCCTTCTCCCATCCTCCCGGCACCTGGCAGACGTCCTAAAAAAACCCCAAACAAACCCACCCCGCCCCAATCGAGAAGCAATATGTGATCCTCGGTGTGGAAGTTGGGGATGCGGTCGGGCGTTCCCGTCCCTTGGTGTTGGCCAGGGCAGCCCGGCACAAGCCAGGGTGGGAGCCCAAAGCCGGCGGGGGATGTGGGGGGAAACGTGGGAATCTGGCTGAGTATCTCTCCATTCGTCTCCATGGAAAAACCCTGGAAACCTCTCGCCCCTTTGGTTTCACAGCCTCAATGAGCAAAGCCGGGTCAGCTCCGGTGAAGAGCCACCAGACTATGGCGAGGCACAAAGTGCCCCAAATTCCACCCCCCAGTTTCCCCTTTCAGGCTAATCTCGGGCTTTTCCCCCAACGCAGCAGCCTGCGGCGCGGGGGGAACCTCTCCCACTGCGGCTCGGGGGGACCCTCTCCCTTATGGTCTCTTCGGATTTGGGGCTATTGCTTTTGTTGTTGACTTTGGGGCCCGGGTGCTGCCCCCCGGTCCCAGGCGGTGCACGCCAGCAGGTGGAGCTGGCAGACCGTCCCAGCATGGCCCCGCATCCCCTGGGCATCGCGAGTATCACCCCCAGTATCTCCTGGCATCCCCCAGCATCCCCCCAGTACTGCCCAGCATCTTCTGAGCATCCCACTGAGACACCTGAGCATGGCTTGAGCCCCAAGAGCATCACTGGACCGTCACCCAGTATCCCCCCAGCATCACCTGAGCATCGTGTACATTACCCAAGAAGCCCCAAGACCCACCTGAGCATCGCTGGACCATGGCTCAGCATCCTCCCAGCATGGCCAAATGTCACCCAGCATCTCCCAAGCGTGGCCATATGTCACCCAGCATCCTCCCAGCACGACCAAACAGTCCCTCCTTACCCCGGACCAGTGACGTTGCTGCTGGCTGAGACGTTTCAGGGGTTCATTCCAGGAGAAGCCGACTACACATTGCCACGTGGCCACCCCAAAACAAGCCAAGGGCTTTCCTTACACTCCAACTGGGAGGGTGTGAAGTGAGAGGGGGGAGAGATGTCCCCAAAGCGGATTATTTTCCCCTCCAGCTCTGCCCACCCACCCGTGGCCGAGAGGGACCTCTCGGGATGGTGGTGTTTAAATGCGTCTCCCCGGGAGATGCTGCGTGGGAGGGAGACGCCGGCGTGGGATCCCTTCCACGTCGTGACGATGCTCGGGGTGGATGAGCCGGGCCAGAAACCCGCGATCTTGTGACTTCTGACGTTTCCCCGCTGCTTTTTCCCCTTTCCCCAAAACGCACCCGTCTACAAAACCTGCGGCGTCGGGGTCGTTGTGCAACCGGCCCTGCCGTCACCGCGCGACCCGGTGATGCCAGCGGGCACGTCGGCACCGCCGCCGCAATCGCCCCCTTTCCCGACCATCTGCCACCGCACCACGGAGACCCCTTTTTAGGGGAGAAGGAGGGAAAAGGCCTCGTAACCCCGTTAGGAGGGTCCCTTTCCCCTGGGGAACGCCCCAACCCTTTCCCACCCGTTTCCCACCCCAGCCTCGCTGGAGGGATGCGGGGCAGAGCAAGTCATCCCACCGCGGTGGCCGGAGCTAGGCACGTGGCTTCTCTGATGTCTGATAGGGGTTGAGCTCATTAACCTCATTAGGCTGAGGGCACTAATGGGCTCCCTCTTTCTGCGAAACACACTGGGGCCATCCCTACACCTGTGCCATTCGAGACCTGAGAAAACAGCTTTGCATCAACCCTTCCCCTCCGGGACTATCCCCTTGCAGCCGGCACAGTGATCCCCCCCTTTCTTACCCCCCCGTC